TTGTAATTTGTAAATTAAAATCTTAATATTAGTAACCAAATAATTAGTAAGTCTGGATTACTAAGAAGGCCTTTGTGGTGGGGATGGTGGGTTTTTTGTTTTTGTTTTTTTTTGCCTATGTGAACTCTCCTGGAGGTAATAGTTCCACTTACTAGAATGTTTCTGAGTCAGTGTGAACAAAGAGAATCTCTGGCCTGGAGAGGCACTGTGTCCATGTGGATAGTCAAGGACAAAATTTGAGAGTGAACTCAGTTACCTGTTAATATCATTCTAATTCTTTCAACTCACCTGTAACGTCTCCTCTAATGGCTTTGTTGCTTATAATGCTAATGGTTATATGCTCAAACTGTGGTGTTCTGAACTTACTAGGCATGGGGAAATTCTAGCTCTAAGACAAATGACAAAGAACATTTTCTGGTAAAATTTCTCTCATGCCTCATACCTAGCAGTCTGGCCTGGTTCTAATAAACTCTATTCATGTGGGATTAGAACAATGATTTTCAGATTTTGGTGCGTCTAAGAAATATCAGGGAGCTTGCTAACATATCTGCTTTCTGACCCATTTCCAAAAATTCTCATTTTGTTTATGTGGATTGGGCTCAGGTGTCTGAAATTTTAGCACATCCCTTAGAGGATCCTAATGAGCTTGTTCAGGGCCCAGATGCTAAGAACATTCATCTTGAACCAAGCATGTTGGGTGGTGGTTGGGGAATTTATTTCTGCTGCAGCTAGTTTAGAAGATCCATAACTAAAACACAGTTCTGCCTCTGAAGCAGGTAGGCCTTGCCTTGATGTCTGGACCAGATTCTAAGCCCTAAGTAAAGATGGGATCATAGGTTGGTGTAAGCCAGCGATTTTCAACATTTTTCATCTCGTAGTACACATAAACTAATTACTAAAATTCTGCGGCAGACCCAAAAATATGTTATTTTATTTTTGCCGATCTGACAAAAAAATACGTATAATTTTGATTGATTTACAAAACAATAGTAGTAATTATCTACCCTTTTTGTTTTTTAAAAAAGCAGGTGCCTATACTTGCATATAAGGATTTCTAGTACCAAGAATTAACCAACCAGATGCAACCTTATTATGCAATGTGATCAATAAGATGCAACTCTGTTGCATAACCTATATATTTATGATCAAGACAGGGCATTCACACCAGGCAGTTATTGTTGTATTGGCTGTTGTCATTTTTTATTTGACAATCTAAGAGAAAAGAGGTTATTGTATGTTTTAAATAAACACTGCTAGACTTCTTGGAAAATTTTCAGCCAGTGGTGAGTATTTTAGCCATTCCTATTTGATTTGCATTTGTGCCTTAAAAGACTTAATAAGAACTTGACTAGTCAATCATATGGGGGAGTAAAGACCATCTGTGATAGCTAATTGTATGTGTCAATTTGACTGGGCTTACGGTTGCCCAAATATTTGGTTCACCATTATTCTTGGTGTGTCTGTGAGGGTATTTCTGGAGGGATTAACAGTTAAATCAGATGGTGTAAAGCAGATTACCTTTTCCAATGTGAGTGGGCCTCATCCAATTCTTTGAAGCCTGAGATAGAAAACAGGTTCAGTAAGGAGTAATTCACTCTCTCCACCTAACTGTCTTCAAGCTGGAACATTGATCTTCTCCTGCCTTTGGATTAGGACTCGAACTGGAATTTACACCTTTGGTTCTCCTGTTTCTCAGGCCTTTAGACTCTGACTGGAAGTAAACCATAAAGTCTCCTGAGTCTCCAACTTGTCAGCTGTAGATATTAGGACATCTCAACCTCCATCATTGTGTGAGCCAATTCCTTTTTATTATTATTATTATCATTATCATTATTATTATTTTTAATCCTCACCAGAAGATATGTTTTTATTGCTTTTTAGAGAGAGAGAGAGGAAGAAAGGGAGAGAGAGAGAGAGAGAGGGGGAGAGAGAGAGAGAGAGAGAGAGAGAGAAATACCAATGTGAGAGAGAAACATCAATTGGCTGCCTCCCGTATGTTCCCTGACCAGAATCAAACCAACAACCTTTTGGTGCTCTGATGGTGCTCCAACCAACCGAGCTACCTGGCCAGGGCATGAGCCCATTTCTTAAACTCAATCTCCCTCTCTCTCCCTCCTCTTCCCCTTCTCCTGCCTCTCCCCTCTCTTACCTGCTCTCCTCCCCCCCATACAGATTTTGGTATGGAGAGTGGTTCTAGAATGTTAAGGATGAATTTTCTGAATTAATTCTGGGGTCCTGTAATTGCTCTCTAATATGATTAAATATTCTAATGACTGTTTCCAGTAATAAAGAGAACACTGAAAGTCCATGATGTGAATGGACAGTAGCAATCCATGAAATATCTGCATTGGATACACCTAATCAACCACTTTTAAGAAGCAAGGATCTGAGTGACTGTGTATGTGATACTTTTGAACATTTTTAAAAAGTTAACTAATATAATTAGATTGCTGGTTGCTTCTAATGTTGCTGGACAAAGTACAAAGTGATGAAAGAAAAGGATGAGTTCAGGGATTTGAATTCCCAGCTCAAGCACTGCACAAATGACCTAAAAACTTCAATGTGTGCCCTGAAAGAAACCCTTGTCTCCTGTAGCCTCAGGGCTGAAATTGCTAAAAATCAAACATAAACTCTTATTCTGTAGCTGGCTGAATTACAACACAAGTTGAACTCCCGGCCTCATAGGGTGTCTGCTGTTAAAGTGAGAGCAGTGATTAGGAAAGAACGGGATCCTGTAAATTGGAATAGGGAAGACTCTATAAAGCTGGGCACACTGAGCTCCTAAATTTGGATGACACTTCTTGGTCAGTGGAAGTGGCCTCCCCCAGTAGAACCAGCCTCCCCACCTTCACGGGTAGCAACCCTTCCACCTCCTACACCTCTTGTGGGGAATTAACTCTACTTGTCTGAGAAAAATAATGGCTTCCCCTAGGGCTGTTGCCTCCCATGATAATGCTAATTCTCCTCAGGACCCACAACTCACCACTGTCTTTGCTTCTAGACCTATAAGTAGACTCAAATTCCAGCAGGCCCGAAGAAGTGACATAGAAAGTGCAACCTATGAGGAGGCGTGCTATACGCCAAAAGAACTACTTAAGTTTTATAATTTATATGAGCAGAAATCCAGGGAACATGTGTGAAAATGGATATGAAGAGTGTGGGATCATGGTGGAAGAAACATGAAGTTGGATCAGGCTGAAATGATCAATGTCTGGCATGTTATAGGTCCTCAGAAAGGTTTGGCTGCAATATCTGTTACACTGTCAGTCTCCAGAGTAAATCTGTGAATCTGGTTCAAAGAGCCCATGTCCTCTTTTACTCCTCCAGCTCATAAGTATCCCTTCTTAAGTAGGAAGAGGGTTTGAAAAGCACAGATAGGAGGAGTTTGTTCTTTATTCAACAGTGAGTGAGAACAAAGTACTCAATAAATTGTTCAACTTTTTTCTTATTTTCTATATAATCACTTTTTAGTATTCATCTTTCATTCTCTAGCCATATTTTATTCTGTAGTTATTTGTCTTCCCCCAATCCCAGTAAACACACACACACACACACACACACACACACACACACACCCATGGCCCATAGATCAAGGCCAAGGTCCTAATCCTTTACTCTAAAGTCCGTTACCAGGGTGCTTAAAACTAGTTTAATGTCCTTCTCTTATAGTCTCATATTTAAGTTTATTCCTTGTATTTGATCAAAGCTTAAAACAGCTCTTTGCCCACTTGTCCTTTCTGTTTTAAAGCCCTTTCCCAAGCTGTGACACAAGAATGCAAACTTTATTTTCAACACATGCATGGTCTTCTATCTTTCTGTTAGTTTTCCCAGCTGATCTGAGAGAACTAATGGTTTTTCCTGGCCCTTTGCTCACAGACATGGAATTTCTTCAATTTTGAGCATGGATCGGATGCATGATTCAATACATTACTTGCCATTCGTACAACATCTTACTGTTTGTTTTTCTTCAGCAAATGTTCATCGGCCAAAGCCTGTTGAAATTCATCAATAGCACTGTGCTAGATATAAAATAGCACTGTGCTAGATATAAAATTTGTAAATATAAAATAAATAAAACATTATTTCAGCCTAGGAGGAACTCAAGCCTAGAAAGCAAAGGCAGCATGTAAACATGTATATTATAATGTGATACAAAGCAAAACAAACTTCTTCTGGGGGGAGTGGATAAATGGTGTCAGAGGATGTGATATTTCTATCAGTCTTGAAACCTAAGTAGTAGTTTGCCAATCAGAGGACAGAGGTGAGAGTGAGGGTTAGATCAGACTAGAGTATGAGTGAAGAAGGTCCAGTGTGAACAGGCTCTGAAAAAATTGAGGAAGATACTGACATGTTTGGGGAGATCTGATGGGTTCAGTGTAGTTGGTTGTGTTGGTAGGAGGGGCAGGGATCAAACTGAAAGGGCCTGTGTAGAGAGGACTGAATTTTATTCTAGAGACAAGAGAGAGGAAACTGCTTAAGCAGGGGAGTTTAACAATCAGGCTTGTCTCTTACACGTCTGTTGTCACTAACCTGGTTAGTTACATGAACTTCGGTTTTTGGAGCCTGAAAGGGGTGTGTTCTGCTTGCTTAATCAGAAGTGCTCAGGGTATCCTCTCGGTTGAGACACTGCTTTTTTTCCAGGTCTAGAGAGAGCATGTTTTCAGTGTACTCGGGCCACTTAGTGTGACGCCAGTGTCCACTTGTGCTAATTCACCTCCTCTGTGTATGACTACAACACTGTCCTCCAAATGCCGTCTCTCCTTGGCCAGGGTTCGACATATACTGACAGCCTTTGTCTCTTTGAGCTCTCTGTTTCTGTTTTAAGATTTTCTTTGTTCAGTTCTGTTGACAGTCTTTAGACACGGCCACCATCAGTAGCCACACCCCAGCAAAACGTTGCCGATGCAGAAGTTTGTCTGCACCAGCACGCCGTACTGACGGTAGCAGTGCGCAGGCGCGGTTCCCGGCTTCCGCGGCGTGTTCCTCTTTCCCGGGGTTCCCAGCTTCCTGGCAGGTGGGCGGCGGCACCTCGCGGTCGGCCTCCCCCCGGCTTGCTCTGTGCTCGGGACGCTCGCCCCGCTGCGCCCAGCTCCCGGAGCCGCTGCTGGCCGCACGCCCGGCCGGCGCAGACCATGGCCGAGCGCGGGGACCTGGACCTGACCGGCGCCAAGCAGAACACCGGCGTGTGGCTGGTCAAGGTAATGTCGCGCGGCGCTCGCTTGCGCTCCTGGTGTGAGTAGTTGAAGTTACTTGAGACCACCCCACTTGTCACACCTTTTAAAGTTCTTTACAGTCGTCTTCGTGTACCTTGAGAGGCACGATCCATTGTTATGTTCGTTTGCACACGAGACAGTTCGTTTAGGGAACCACAGTGTCAGCCCGAGACGCAACCTGCCCGGAATGGATTTCCATTCCCCATGACCTGGTTTTTGGGGGCCCTGTCTTGGTGTCCCGATTTGAGATGCGTTTTACCCCAGACTGAAGAATTTTTGCATCTTCTCTTGGTGAAACTGATTTTAGTCATGAGCCTGTAAAGGCAGTTGAGTGTCTGCTCCCCGAGCAGTTTCTCGTCCAGAGAGAACTGATCTCTGTGTACCCTTAGGTGTTCTCTCGGGGGGATGGCCCTCACTGGAGTTCTCGGGAGCTGAGAAAGCTCTGGGCTCAGGCGGAAGAGGCCATTGGACAAGAGTATTTTTTAGAGCACGACTGGGTCTCCTGAAACAGACCGTCAAAAAAAAAGTGTTTTGTAAAGACAGCAGTCATGGTTAGCCCTCTACTTTTACATATCGGTGAGTGTTGTTTCTTAAGAGAGTTTCATGAGATTCATGTTTGTTCAGAATGTGATCATGAGTCTTTGAACCTCAAGTAAAATAGTTTGTTAAACTTTAAAAAAAATCTTACCACATGGCTGGGTTGTCAAATAAATCTGAGAGGCCCTTTCTGTCCATCTCTCTCAAATAGTTCCCGTATTGTTTTGTTTTGATCCTAACCTAAGGACATTTTTTTCCCCTGCATTTATCTTCAGATAGAGCGGGAGGGAGAGAGGGAGGAAGAGAGAGAGCGAGAAACATTGATGTGAGAGAGACACATCGACTGGTTGCCACCTGTACAACCCAACCAGGGCCAGGGACAAACTGCAGCCGAGGTATGTGCCCTTAGGGGGAACCGAACCCAGGTCTCTCTGGTCCGCAGGCCGATGCTCTAACCACTGAGAAAACCGGCCAGGGCAAATAGTTCCCTTATGATCATTCACTAGCATGTCAAATCTGTGTTACATTATTCTTCAAAGCACTTTTCCCAGTCGAAGTGATTCTGTGTTCATGTGTTCATTGTTGGTTACCTCCCTCTCCCCAGCGCTTGCACACGTATACACACACACACACACACACACACAGTCACATTCCATGAGCATAGGAACCTTGCCTGTCAAACCCAGAATTGTGTTTGGCACATGGTAATTGCTCAGCACATATGTGATGAATGAATGAATGATGTCTTTCAACCCTAGCCTTAGTTTCTGGCACTCATTTGACTAACCACAGCTATATCAATATGACTTAAAACAACGGAGTAAATGAACATTACTCTCTCTTGCATGCTAAATGGAGCAGAAACATTAGGAAGGAGATCTCCCTTGCAGACTGAAAGGGCTTGAAAAAAATAGTAGAGCTTAAGATGATACATTTGTGCTTGGAGCACAGTAAATGCTCAGTAAATGTTGTTTACCTTACCAGATTTAGATGGGTGGACAGAGGCATAGCGAAATATACCATGGAGAGTGGAACAGAAATGCAACACTGAAATGCATATTTAACACAGTGGGTCCTGGAAAACAGAGAATATTATACCTAGAACAGAGGAGCTGTGTTAAAAAAAGGTTGGCACCATATATTCATATTGTGAAATGGGAATATCTTTAGTCTATAGGAAGTGAGGAACCTTTTGGAGGGTTTTCAGTAAGGCAGGGATGCAAATGATTCAGAAAAAAAATTAAGCTAGAGGGGAAATAAGCAGAGACAAAATTATAAAATTTTCACAGGATCATAGATAGGTGACAATGAGGTCTGAGGAGTTAGGGAAACTTTTTCAGTAACTTGTCAGGATTTAGTGATTGACAACTGAGAATGTGAAAGAATGTAATGAATCTAAAATGAAGAAGTTAAATTAGTGATCTCATATAGAGATCACATTTTATCCTTTTGAATACATTTTATCTCTTTAAAAAGAACTCAAGACAATGATTTGTTCTTGTTTTATAAATGTTGTAATGTTTAATTATTTATTGTTTGTATTATCATTGTTTCCTCATATCAGCTTGGCATTCAGTGTTTCTATTTCTAATCTTATGTATCAAAGAAAATACATAACAGGTTTGCAAATCTTTCCAAGGTGTGAAAGGACTTTCTTGTTTGTTCTTGTCCTCTTTCAACCTTATTTCTGACAGAGGACAAGAATGGCTAGCAAACACTTTTTCTTCTAAAGTCCATTCTTGTTCTCCCTTTATTTGACAACTTTTATTTCTGCTCTAGTTAAAGAAGTTCCAATAAGCAGTGGGGTTTGATTTGAACACCTGTCAGTTTGTACTTGTTTCATTTGCACTGGGGTTAACATCCAGTGTGATTTTCATGCCCATATCTTGAGCATACTTGGATTTTCATCTCTGAATTATAGGAATAAATTATGCGAGTGAATCACATTGTAATCCTGAATTTCAGCTTCCTTTGTGTAATATTAAAATATAACATTTGCTTAGAAAGTGTATCTTTATTCTTATCCAGTAAGAACTTGTGAACAGAACCACATACCAATTTCAAGTCTTTTCTCTATACCAGCGATTTTCAACTGGTGTGCTGCAGTAATTTTTAAAACATGCAATACCTGACTAGTCATGGGCACTGACCTCTTTTTCCTTAGATTGACAAATACAAAAATGACAACAGCCAGTTAAGCAGTAGCCGTCTGGTGTGAATGCCCTGTCTTGAACTATAAATATATAGGTCATGTAATAGAGTTGCTTCTTATTAGTCATGTCACATAATAATTTGCATCTTATTGGTTAATTCTTGGTATGAGAAATTCTTATATACAAGTATAGGCACCTGATTTTTTAAAAAGTCAGTTTGGAGTTTGGGGAGGGTAAATCAGTCAAAATTATACTTTTTTTTTTTTGGCCAGGTTGGCAAAAAATATATTTTTTGGTGTGCCTCAAGATTTTCAGTGATTTTTAGTGCCATGAGATGAAAATGGTTGAAAATTGCTGCTCTATGCACATTAATATTTCTCATTATAAATAACACCTGAGTTCTGATATTTCAGGATAATTTATTGCAAAGTTTATGGGCCATCTTGTACATATTTTATTAGTTCCATCACTAAACAGGTATAGAACAGGATAAATACAGTAAGAGCTATACATATAAGCTCTCTAAGAGTTTTAAGCAGGGGAAGAATTGTTTGGCTGGGAACAGGGAAGACTTCACGGGGAAAGTAATAGCCTGTGGAGTTGATTAGTTAGAAGAAACTTTCCAGCAGGGCTGGGCAGAACTAGAGTTATTCAGCAAAAGGCAAATATGGTATAAGACTGTGTGTGGTATAAGAATTTCCAGTACTTTGTACTGTTCTGGCCTAATAAAATGCCATTTCAGGGTTTCGAATATATTAAATATAGAAGAGAACAGTGATCCAAACAAGTTTTGATAGGTAATAGACATGATTGGATTTAACTTCATAATAAATATCACCTGCCAAAACATGTAAGTAGTCACAATTTTTAGCTCGTCTGGAAGCTAGTTGCTTGAAGTTTGCATTACCCTGTTCCTCAGTCTATGCCATTGTTAGGTTACCAACTGTTAACACCACTACTACATAGCCTATAGCAAATCATGATTTAAAATGTTGGATGAGAGCTCTGGCCGGTTTGGTTCAGCAGTTAGAGTGTCGGCCTGCAGTCCAGAGAGGCCCGGGTTTGGTTCCCGCTAAGGGCACGTACCTTGGTTGCAGTTTGTCCCCGGCCCTGGTTGGGTTGTGTGAGAGGCAGCCACTCGATGTGTCCCTTTCACATCGATGTTTCTTTCTCTCTCCCTCCCACTCTGAACAAAAAGTGGAAAAATGTCTTCGGGTGAGGTTAAATAAATAATAAATAATAAGTAAGTAAATAAATAAATAAATAAATTGTTGGATGAGACTTCTACCAAGATGGCAGCATAAGTTATAAACACGGTACTCACCTCCTCTCACAACCATATCAAACTTACAACTAAACTACAGAGCAACCATCATTCAGAACTGCCTGAAATTGAGCTGAATGGAAGTCCTACAACTACAGAATTAAAGAAAAGCCACATTGAGACTGGTAGGAGGAGTCGCAGGTTCGAATCCAGTCAAGGGCATGTACATCAGTTTCGGTTCAGTCCCTGGCCCAGGTCAGGTCATGCGGGAGGCAACCAATCCATGTGTCTTTCTCACATTGATGTCTCTCTCTCTCTGCCCCTCCTCTTCTCCCCCATCCCTCTCTTCCTCTTCCTCCCTCCTACTCTGTCTGAAAATAAATGGAATAGCCTTGTGTGAGGATTTAAAAAAAAAATTAAGAGGGATATCTCAGCTGCAGAGGTCTCCCCTGAGGATGAGGGGTCCCAGCCCAGGTTCCAGTGTCAAGAAGAGAAGTCCTCATAACTTCTGGCTGTAAAAACCAGTGGGGATTGAGGCTGAGGGAGACTGAGGCTTCTGGAGTCCCAGGCAGTTTCTCTTAAAGGGCCTGCTCATGGCTGTACTTGGACTCCCTCTGAGTTTCAGTTTGGGGGCAGTATCTTGAAAGGCACCAGAGACATACAGGGAGGAACTGAATTGTTTGGCATAAGGGCAAGAGCTGGAGGGGCAGCTTTCTTCCAGACAGAAGTGCTGGCAGAAGCCATTGTTTCTTTGATGATCCCTACCCCCAACAGAGCCAGCAGATGGGCGCCATATCTGAGACTTCATCAACATGGCTCACACTGTTGGCTCCACTCTCATTATTTCCTGAGGCCCTGCCCCACCCAACTTTAAGCCCACCCAGTCTGTTTCCAGTGGCTTTTCCATACAAGTGGCCTGTCTTGGCTCATGCTTCAGATTTTCCTAAAATCTCTTAAGCAACATCTGGCCTCAGTGAACCCTATACCTCTCAGTAAATGGCTCCAGGAAGAACACAGGCAGTGGCTGACCT